GGCCGCTGCCTCATCCGCAGGGTCCGCCTGAGCGCCGGGACAGGTACGGGCGGGACCCTGGGGCACCGGGTGGTTAAAGCTCCTCCTGGGGCTTCCCTAACGCGTTAAATCTGCTCCGAGGCAGGAGGAGCCCGTGTGGGCTCTGCTTATCCTCCGCCTACTCGTGAGCGCCTCACAGCCCCCCTTGTCCCCTCGTTGTCCCCGCAGGCCCGGAGGCTCCCCCCAGCCCGGCCGGGGCTGCCGCCGGCCCGGCGGTCACGGAGGCGGAGCTGCGGCGGCTGCCCGAGCTGAACCCGCCCTCGTTCATGCCCCGCGGGAACGTGGGCACCCCCCTGGGCGTGTTCCTGGAGCTGATCCGCGCCTGCCGCCTGCCCCCCCGCGTCATCTCCCGCCTGCAGCTGGATTTTCCCAGGACGGGCTCCTCCCGCAGGTATGGGAACGTGCCCTTCCAGTACCCGGGCACCGACACCGTGCCCGAGGAGGAGCGAGTCTACACGGCTGCGGGGGATGAGATCACCGAGGGAGATGAGCCCGTGGCGCTGACTCAGCCTGCCCAGCCCCAGGAGGATGAGGAGGGGCAGCAGCAGGAGGAAGAGGAGTCAAACTCCGATGACGTAAGTGGAACATTCCAGCACCATCCTGTGGGCTGGGCTGTGGGAGCTGTGAGGGCAGATTCCATCTCTGAGCTCATTTTTCACCTCTTAGTTGGATAAGTGGCGTGTTAGAACCAGCTTTGAAATAGGATTGATCACCCCTTGGTGCACTGAGCCCCTCGGGGCAGGGACAGGGGCCCTGAGCCCCCAGAACTGCTCAGGGGGGTCATAGGGGTTTATCCCAAAGGCTCTGATCTGAGCAGAGGGGAGGCTGGTGCTGCCCAGCAGGTCCTGCCCTGCTCCCTGGCAGATGGGGTGGCAGAGGCTGGGTTGTGTCCCTGCTCCATCCCGTTGCTGTGCTGGGATGACGTGCAGAGCTGCACAGAGGGCTGACCTCGGCTGCTGCTGCACTGGGGGTTAGTCACTCTGGGGACATGGCTTCAGTGACAAAGGCTCCTGGAGAGCGGGCAGGGCAGGAGCCATCCCAGCCCTGTCCCTGGCAGACGCCTGTCTGGCCTGTTCTCCCAGAGCTCTGTCATTGCAGATCCCCAGGCCAGCCATTCCCATCCTCTGCTGCGCCAGAATTAGCTCAGATGCCAAATCTCTGCTGCAGCTGCACCCCATTCTGTTCTCCTGCCAGCGTGGGGCACAGGGACGCTTTGTTCCCTCCTTTTCCCAGCTTTTTATTCAACCTTTCCTCCTGCAGACTGAACAGACCCCTGCAGCTGTTTCTCCCGGGCTGTTCCTGGCTCTGCAGCCATTCTTGTGGCTGGGCAGTGGCCGTGCCCAGGACGGGGCTGGCAGCTCTATGGCTGTGCCAGGAGCTGCTTCCTGGAGCCCACGCAATCTCCAGGGATCGGCTGCAGTGGAATGAGCTCCCTGCTGTGCTGACTGAGGTCCAGCAGCCCTGCTCCTTACATGGGCATCAGCTGGGGCTGGGGCTGCTCTGGGATGGCTCCTGCTGAGCTGGCAGGGCTCTGAGTCAGGGATGAGCTCATCCCTCGTGTTGGGGCCTGAGCAGGGCTGCCCCAGGGGAGGGCGGTGGGACCGGGCAGGGAGCAGGAGAGGGCTCAGCTGCTGTCCCCAGCTGTATCCCAGACTGTGCTGTGTCCCCAGCTGTATCCCAGACTGTGCTGTGTCCCCAGCTCCATCCCAGACTGTGCTGTGTCCCCAGCTCCATCCCAGATTGTCCTTGCAGGACAGGGACACGTGTGAGGGGGGGGATGTGCTGTGTCCCCCTGCTCCATCCTGGGCCATGCTGGTGTCCCCTTTAGGACAATGACACATGTGAGGAGGGGGCTGTGCAGTGTCCCAGCCCCATCCCACACCCTGCTGTCCCCCACAGGACAATGACACGTGCGAGGAGGGGGCTGTGCAGTGTCCCACTCCCATCTCCTGCCATGCTGTCCCCTTTAGGACAATGACACGTGTGAGATGGGGGCTATGCAGTGTCCCCAGCCCCATCCCACGCCCTGCTGTCCCCCACAGGACAATGACATGTGCAAGGAGGGGGCTGTGCAGTGTCCCCAGCCCCATCCCACACCCTGCTGTCCCCCACAGGACAATGACACGTGTGAGATGGGGGCTATGCAGTGTCCCCAGCCCCATCCCACCCCTGCTGTCCCCCACAGGACAATGACACGTGCGAGGAGTGGCAGCGGCACGCAGCGCTGCACGAGGACGTGACGCAGCAGGAGCGGCTGCGCGAGCGCCTCTTCGAGGAGGAGATCGAGCTCAAGTGGGAGAAGGGCGGCTCCGGCCTCGTGTTCTACACGGATGCCCAGTTCTGGCAGGAGCAGGACGGAGGTGACCCTGCTGTTTGTGCCAGCTGGAGCGCCCAGCACCGTGCCCTGGCTGCTGAGCCCTCCCTCGGGCACAGAGCTGAGACCCCCTTGGTGCTGCTGGCAGCCCCTTGGGTGGGCAGTGGGTCTCTAAGGCCATTTCCTCTGTGCTGGCACTGCTGAGGCACCACCCTGAGTGCAGAGCTGTGTCCAGGGACATGGAGGGGCTGGGGAGTGCCCAGGGCAGGGGCTGAGCTGGGCAGGGGCTCAGCTGGAGCAAAGGAGGCTCAGGAGGCCCTTGTGGCTCTGCACAGCTCCTGACAGGAGGGGACAGCCGGGAGGGTCAGGCTCTGCTCCAGGGAACAGGGAAAGAGCTGCCCTGTGCCAGAGCTCACCCAAAGTGCTGCTTCCCTTCTCTTGGCAGACTTTGACGAGCAGACAGCCGACGACTGGGACGTGGACATGAGCATCTACTACGACAAAGGTATGAGAGCTGAGCCACCCTCCCCAGGGGAACCAGAGAACTTCTGACCGTGCACAATTCAGGAGCTCTTTGTCATTCTTTGAAAGCACCCAGGCTGTCAGTGAACCTGAAACTGTGTTTTTCTGGTCTGGCAGCAAGGCTTGCCAAAAAGAACAGGTTCTGCCTCCTGTGCTGGTGCTCTGGGGAGCACGCTGTGGTGCCCAGGCTGGCAGGGCTGGGCTGTGCTGACTGTGGCTGCTTTGTCCCCAGATGGAGGGGACAAGGACGCCCGGGACTCGGTGCAGATGTGGCTGGAGCAGCGGCTCCGGGCCGGGCTGGAGGATGGCTCTGTGTCGGGGCAGCACATCGGCACCTTCGAGAGGCACACCAAGGTGGGAGAGCTCTGCCTGCCTCTCAGGAGGGGCAGGAGGAGAGGGATTGGCTGTGGGAAGATGAGGGTGGGATTTGCCCAGCAAGCCTGTGATGGTTTTCTCCTCTCTCCCAGGGCTTTGGCAGGAAGGTCCTGGAGCAGCAGGGCTGGACAGAGGGGCTGGGCCTGGGCAGCAGCAACTCTGGCATGGCTGAAGCTCTGGACAACGAGGGTCAGAACCCCCGGTGCAAGAGGGGGCTGGGGTGAGTTCCCAAGAGCCCTCCCAGCCCCTGTTCCCCCCTGTGCCCAGGCTCACAGCACTGAGGAGCTGCAAAGGGCTGTGCCAGGGGTGATCCCTGCACAGCTGGGCAGTTCCACAGCCTCCACAGCCGAACAGGCTGCTCCTCCTGAAAGCTGGGGCTCCTTGATGGAGCAGGGCTGGAGCCTCTGGGAGCTGTCCCTGCCCATGGCACAGGGTGCAACTGGGTGGGTTTAAGGTCCCTTCCAGCCCAAACCATTCCAGGAAAGGAGCTGGGAAGCTCAGGGATGCCTGATGGCCTCTGCAGCTCCCTCCAAACCTTCCTGCTTCCCTGCAGGTACCACGGGGAGAAGCTGCCAACCTTTGTGAGGAGGAAGAAGCCCCGTGGTGACAGCTCTGTTGTCATCTCCACCATCTACGATGAGCCTGAGCCCCAGGACATGGGTGACCAGCTGCTGAGGCGCCAGCCCCTCACGGCCATGAAGTACAGACAGGACATGGCCTTTGTCCGAGCGTCCCAGCCCGCCCTGGGCAGCCTCAGGGCCCAGCCACGCTGAGCAGGGACTGTCACAGCCTTTCTCCTGCTCCCCAGGCCAGGCGGGCTCCTGGCCTGAGTGTAAGCAGGGTGGTTTTGTATTTATTTTTAGTAAAAATATAGATTTGTAATTAAAATCTCCACAGTGGGTTTTTTTCTATCAAATGAAAGGAAGTGGTGTTCTGTGTGAATGGAGAAGGATTTAGGGTGATTAACACTTACATTCGTGCTGGGATCAACCGAATGTGTGCGTTGGTGAGGCTGAGGAAGCAGAACTCAGCCTGGGAGGCAGGGAAGGACAAGTACAGGCAGGGCAGGGTAACTCCTTCCCTGCCCGAGCGTTCCTGGGGTGTGGCTGTCCCGCTCTGGCAGGGATGAAAGGCTGGTCCTGCCGGCCTGCAGGGGGATTCTCTGCCTTCCCTGTGGCTCTGGTAGCGGGTGCTTTCCAGGCTGCTCTGCCCTGTTCTCCAGGCACTGGCACAGGGGACAGCTCTGTCCCACTGACCCAGTGCTGGCAGGCCAGGCCCTGTGTGACTTCCTGAAGGGCTGAAGGGGGAAAATGCAGGGAGGAATTCCTCCTTATACCTGCCAGGAGGGTGTGGCCACCTGGGAGAAGGCTGAGAGTGGGCATTAGGAAGAATTTATTCACAGAATGGGGGATTAGATTTAGGAACAGGCTGCACAGGCAGCCAGGTTGTGCAGTCACTGTCCCCAGAGATGTTTAAGGAAAAACTGGGTGTGGCACTCAGCGCCATGGTGGTGTTTGGTCAGAGCTAGGGCTCGATGGTCTTAGAGGCCTTTTCCAACCCAATTTATTCTGTGATTTGTTAAAAAGCGGGGCTGGGGCGGTGCTGGAGGGACAAGAGCCGGCGCCGGGACTCGAACCCGCGACCCTTGCCGTGACCGAGTCCCGGGCAGGGCTGCGCGTCCCCCCGGCCGCCAGGGGGCGCTGTGGGAGCGGCGGCCGCTCCGCGCCCGGAACGCGGCGCTCGGGGCCCGCGGGCACCCGGACCCACCGCGGGGGCACCGGCGGCGGTGAGCGGCCTGCGGGACCGAGGTGGGGAATACCGGGATAACGGGGACATAACCGGGACTGGGGAGGGATAACGGGGATGGGAGGGATAACAGGGATGGGGGAGGGATAACCGGGATAGCGGGGGGAAACCGGGACAAGGGGGATAACCGGGATGGGGGGGGGGGTATAACCGGGGATGAAGCGGACTGGGCAAGGACGGGAGATGGGAGGGAGAAAGCGGGAGCGGGGAAGGAGGGTCGTGACGGAGAAGAGGGAGCACGAGGGAAACTCGGGAACAAATGGGGTGGTGGGGATAAATGGGCCCTATAAACACAGATCATGCCTTCAATGGGATGTTGTTCCCTCGATTAGACCCTGTCCCTGTAAACACAGATCAGACCTCACTTGGGCACTGTCCCTGCTTCTCCCCTCTATCAGAGCCCGTCCCTATGAACACAGACCCTCACTGGGGCACTGTCCGTGTGTCCCCTGTGTCAGAGCCTGTCCCCGTGTCCCCGCAGCCCGGCAGCAGCAGGAGGATGACCCAGCATGGCTGAGGAGAGCCGGCCCAGCTCGCTGGCCTTTGGCCAGGTGGTGATCGGCCCCCCGGGCTCGGGGAAGAGCACCTACTGCCAGGCCATGCGGGAGTTCCTGGCGCGGCTGGGCCGCCCCGTGGCCGTGGTGAACCTGGACCCTGCCAACGAGGCCCTGCCCGGGCCCTGCGCCCTGGACATCGGCGAGCTGGTCACCCTGCCCGACGTGATGGGCAGCCTGGGGCTGGGCCCCAACGGGGGGCTGCTCTACTGCATGGAGTACCTGGAGGCCAACGCCGACTGGCTGCGGGAGCGGCTGCGGGCGCTGCGCGGGCACTACCTGCTCTTCGACTGCCCCGGGCAGGTGGAGCTCTACACCCACCACCAGGCCCTCAAGAACGTCTTGGCCCAGCTGGCCAAGTGGAATTTCAGGGTAGGGATGGGCTGGGGGAGCCGCAGGCAGCTCCACAGCCCTGGGGCTGGGGGGGCTCGTGGCTGCTGCCTTCAGGAGGTTTGTGGGCTTTAGGTGACGTGGCTTTATCAGGGAAGGAGGGGAATTTTGCCCTGTTTTATACTAGGAGAGATTGGCAAAAGAATGGCCTGTCAGGGCTTTTAGTGGGAGCAGGAGCACAGATTTCTTCCTCACACTTCACACAGAATCCCAGAATGTGTTGGGTTGGAGTGGAGCTCAAAGCCCGTCTCGTTCCAGTCCATTCCATGGGCAGGGACACCTTGCAGAGAACCCCAGGCTGTCCTTGAGCACTCCCAGGGCTGGGCAGGAGTGTGTCCTGCTGTGCTGCAGGATCCTCCCCCAGCCCAGGGGGGTTTCAGCAGGGTGGGTTCTGTGTGTGCCGGGAGCCTGGGCACTGCCCTGAGGAATGCAGGGGCCGTGCCAGGCCCTGCTGCAGCCCCAGCAGAGCCCTGCAGCCCCAGCACAACCCCTGCAGCCCCAGCAGAGCCCTGCAGCCCCAGCAGAGCCCCTGCAGCCCCAGCACAGCCCTGCAGCCCCAGCAGAGCCCTGCAGCCCCAGCACAGCCCTGCAGCCCCAGCAGAGCCCCTGCAGCCCCAGCAGAGCCCCTGCAGCCCCAGCACAGCCCTGCAGCCCCAGCACAGCCCCTGCAGCCCCAGCAGAGCCCCTGCAGCCCCAGCAGAGCCCTGCAGCCCCAGCAGAGCCCTGCAGCCCCAGCAGAGCCCCTGCAGCCCCAGCAGAGCCCTGCAGCCCCAGCACAGCCCTGCAGCCCCAGGAGAGCCCTGCAGCCCCAGCACAGCCCTGCAGCCCCAGCAGAGCCCTGCAGCCCCAGCACAGCCCTGCAGCCCCAGCAGAGCCCTGCAGCCCCAGCACAGCCCCTGCAGCCCCAGCACAGCCCTGCAGCCCCAGCACAGCCCTGCAGCCCCAGCACAGCCCCTGCAGCCCCAGCACAGCCCTGCAGCCCCAGCAGAGCCCTGCAGCCCCAGCACAGCCCTGCAGCCCCAGCACAGCCCTGCAGCCCCAGCAGGGCCCTGCAGCCCCAGCACAACCCCTGCAGCCCCAGCACAGCCCTGCAGCCCCAGCAGAGCCCCTGCAGCCCCAGCAGGGCCCTGCAGCCCCAGCACAGCCCTGGAGCCCCAGCACAGCCCTGCAGCCCCAGCACAACCCCTGCAGCCCCAGCAGGGCCCTGCAGCCCCAGCACAGCCCTGCAGCCCCAGCAGGGCCCTGCAGCAGCCCTGGGCCGGGCTCTGGGCTCTTGCACAACGGGAGCTGCAGGTGGGAGCAGCCCCGAGCTGCTGACGCTGCGCTTGCTCTGCGGCGGGGCTGCACCACCAACTGCAAACCCTGCGTGCTCTGAGCAAGAAGGGCAGCTTCATTTGCCTGGGAATGTCACTGGGAATCTGCACATTAGAGCTTATTTTCATTGGGGCGAGTGGACACGGGACTGGAGTTGCTAAAATGAGACCTGTGCAGGGCTGGTCCTGCTCTGCCTGGGAGCCCCAGACTGGCTGGGCTCTGCTGCTGTGACTCAGCCCCAGAGCCCTGACTTGGAGTGACTTCCTCAGCTCTGGGACCGCATCGTTACAGCCACACAAAACCCAGGGAATCAAAGTGCTCGTTAGTGCAATTATTAATTATTAGTGCCAACCGCAGGGGACTCTCCCAGCAGAAGGTGGTGAGCTGCAGGTACTGCTGCTGGCACGGGGGGGGGCTTTGGCTCCCCTCTGACCCAAGCCAGGATTCTCTGGTGCTGTTTAGTGGGCAGGAGGTGGGAGCTCATTCCCCAGGAGGTGCAGCCAGGCCTGGGCAGGTTCTCCTGTGCCCCTTCCAGGCTGTGCCACGGGCAGGGTGGGCTGCTCACGGGGCAAGAGCACCTCTGACTGTGTCCCTTCACTGCCCAGCTGGCTGCCGTGCACCTGGTGGACTCCCACTACTGCACAGACCCCGGCAAGTTCATCTCCGTGCTCTGCACCTCGCTGTCCACCATGCTGCACGTGGAGCTGCCCCACGTCAACGTCCTCTCCAAGATGGACCTGATCGAGCACTACGGGAAACTGGGTGAGGATCTGCTGACCACAGCCTGCTCTGGGGGAAAAGGGAGCTCTCACCTCAGCTCTTCTGGCTCCTTCCACATGCAGGGGGGCTCAGAGCTCCATTCTGGCCTTGCACATGGAATTTGAGGGGCAGGGGAGTGGAATTGGGGTGCCAGGTGCGAATCAGCTGTGTGAGAATGGGGCTGGGTGGGGAACTGCAGATCCCACTGTGCTCCTCAGCTGCCAGCCTGCCCTCAGAGCTCCCTGTCGCCCTGCAGCTTTCAACCTGGATTATTACACCGAGGTGCTGGACCTCTCTTACCTCGTGGACCACTTGGCCTCCGATCCCTTCTTCAGGAATTTCCGCCGCCTCAACGAGAAGCTGGTGGAGGTGATTGAGGACTACAGCCTGGTGTCCTTCGTGCCCCTCAACGTCCAGGTGGGCCAGCAGCAGGGAGCAGGGAGCCCTGCATGTGCTGCAGCTGCTTTTTGTGTGCTCAGAGCCACGGGGCTGCAAACCTCAGCTCTGGAGAGACTCGGGGAAAGCAGGAGAGCACAGCCAGATTGTAAATGATCTGTGGCAGCCAAAGGAAAGAAAAAGGCTGAGGGGCTACCTGGGCCTTGTGTCCTGGGGTGGGCAATCCAGGCTCCCCCTTCCTTCAGCTCTTCTGGCCTGCATTTCCAGCCTGGGCTGAGGGTCACCTAAAGCCCTGTTAAATTAGGGAGCAGCGAATAATGAGAAGGGGGAGGGAGGGAGGGCTGGAAATGCCCTTCATCAGGCAGTTGGCAGAAGTGTCAGCAGGCAAATGGGCTGGGGGAAGGTGATGAAAGGGAATGAGAGGGTGGAGGGCCAGTGACAGTGTCCCTGTTTGTCCCTGTTGGTGTCCCCGTTGGTGTCCCTCTTGGTGTCCCTGTTTGTCCCTGTTTGTCCCCGTTGGTGTCCCTGTTTGGTGTCCCTCTTGGTGTCCCTGTTTGTCCCCGTTGGTGTCCCTGTTTGGTGTCCCTCTTGGTGTCCCTGTTTGTCCGTGTTTGTCCCCATTGGTGTCCCCGGCCCTCGGGCGCTGTCAGGTGGCCCCACGGGGCCCAGGCCAGCGTGGAGAGGGAGGGAGGGAGCTGCTGCTGCAGGCTGTGGGGAGCAGCAGGCACAGGAGCTCTCTGGTGCAGGACAAGCGGAGCATGGGGCAGCTGCTGCAGGCTGTGGGGAGCAGCAGGCACAGGAGCTCTCTCGTGTTGTGCAGGACAAGCAGAGCATGAGGCAGGTGCTGCAGGCTGTGGACAAGGCCAATGGATATTCCTTCGGGGAGCGGGAGCAGCGCAGCCTGCAGGCGCTCATGTCGGCGGCTGTGGGCGCCGACTTCCACTTCTCCTCGTATCCTCTCTGCTGCTGGGCTCCATTTCCCTGTCCCTGGGGGACAGAGGCTGAATCTGCAGGCCCGGGTTCATCATCTGGAGGGTGACACACACTTGGGGAGTGGGGTGTGCTCAGCCCAGCCCGGGGCAGACTCCTGTCCCCACCAAACCCCCCAAAGGTTGGGAATTCATACTGTGAACTTGTCAGGAACCTTTTGACTACTTTCCTCTCTCTCACCTTCCCTTGGGTGGATCTTTCCTTCTCCTTCAACCATACAATTGATTCTCCTGGACTTGTCAGGCCTGGGATCAGGGAGAGCCAGAAGCAGCTCAGGTGATGCTGCCTCTTCCCGATGGCCTTGGGGCTAATCTGAGGCTGGGCTGGTTCCTCGCTGGGAACTTCAGAGCTCCTGCAGAAGGGAGTGTTTGAGCCCAGCCCCTCGTTTTCCTTAATTACTGCGTTATCAGCACCCTGGCAGTGCAGGAGAAGTATGTGCAATCTCAGGACAAAGCTGTGGAAGAGGAGGTGATGGATCTGTGACACGCCCTTCCCCGGCTCCTCTGTTTTCACACCTCTCCTTTTCCTACCCGGAGCTTCGGCTGTGACTCAGAGCCACTGGAAACCTTTCCAGGCAGCGTCTGGACCCTCTCTGGGTGGGTTTGACCCCCTGAGCTTCAGGCCTCCTGCCCAGAGCAGGGCTTTGGCAGAAGGGAGGTGGCCGAGGGTCTTCCCTTAGGAACAGAGAGATTGAGCCAGGGAAGGCAGGGAGAGCAAGGAAAAGCAGCGAGATAAGGTTTCCCCCATCATGACCAAGACAGATCCAGAGAAGAAAAACCAGCAGGAGCTGCCCGGTGTGCAGTGAGAGTGGAGGCAGCAGGCCTGGGTGTGCTGCAGGAGGAGCGTGCAGGGGCCCCACACTCCCGGCAGAATCCAGGCCAGCACGCCTCCACGCCGTCCCGAGGACAGAAAGATGTTTGTTTTTCTTTTTCTTAGAAATAATGATGGACTCTTTCTTAATAAAACGCTCCTCGGTCTCACTTTCATCTTGGAGTTTGCTGAAGCTGAGTAAATAAAGGCAGGAGCGCTGTGGAGCCCGAGGCCAAAGGGCCTGTGCCCTGTGCCCTGCTGGGAGCAGGCTCAGCCTGGCAGGGCTGGGGGCAGCAGGCTGGGCACAGCTCCTGCCCCGTCCAGGGCACACACACAGAGTGCCAGCTCGGCTCCTTTGGGCTGAGAAAGCCCCTGTGTGACTCAGCTCGTGGTTTGCATCTCGGGCCTTTCCCAGGAGCAGCCCTGGGTGTCCTCGTCCACCTTCCCTCTCCTGGCCTTGCTCTCTCCACGTCCCAAATCCTGGAGCTTCCCCTGCTGCCCTGGGATTCCCTCTGGCTGTGCTGCTGCAGCTCTGGGGCTCCGAGTGCGCTCCCTGCAGCAGCTGGGCCATTGATTGGGAGGGCTGGGGGTGGATTGGGAGGGCTGGGGGTGAATTGGCAGAGCTGGGGGTAAATTGGGAGGGCTGGGGGATAAATTGGGAGGACTGGAGGTGGATCAGGAGGTTTGGGGGGTGAATTGGCAGGGCTGGGGGTGCCAGGGGGGGTGTCCACATCAGGGAGCCCCCGGGTGCCTCCTGGCAGCCCCACAGGGATGGGAGCGGGCACAGCTCCCAGTCCCAGCTCTGCAGACTCAGCATCGCCTCTTGCCCAAGATGTTGCATAAAATGCAGCAGGATTTTCTCACAGGATGGTTTGGCCCTTGGCAGAGGGATTGGAGACTGGATCCTTGATGGATCTAAGTGTGAACGGGGTCTTGGGCAGCTGGGCAAGGAATTTAAATGAATTTTTCCCTCATCTCCCAGCTCTGTGGCCAGGATTTGGAGACAAGGAGGAGCTCAGGGAGAGGAGGGTGCAGACACACAATGCTTGTGCTTCACCCAGACCCCTTCCCAATGAAACTGAGATTTCAGATACCAAAGGCAAATCCCAAGTGCTGCCAGGCCCTCAGCTCTCCCCAGAGCCCAGGAATTTCCCTGGGTGTTCCTGGCTGGGACCCAGCAGCTGCATTTCAGTGCTGGGGCTCTGGAAGCCAATCTAACCATACCTGAGCTGAAATCCCATCCTCACCCTGTGCCTCGTGGCCTTGTCCTGCTCCTTTTGGAGCTCTGTAGCTGCTGTGAAGGGGTGGGAGACGGGATCATAAAAATATTAATTTTATAGTGGCTTTTTCCTGGCTTTGGGAGATTTGGTGGCTTAAAAGGGTACGGTCAGGTCAGGCTGGGTTACGCAAGAGCCATCAAAGCTTTTGTGGCTTTTTGGCTTTTTTATTGGAATGCCCTGAATATCTGCAGCCTCAGCCTTGGGACGGAAACTGCTCAGCTCAGCTCAGGATCCTCTGCTGTGCTGCAGCCGGGAAAAGCTCAGGCCTCAGAGAGCCTCAGCCCCAAAACTGCAGAGTTTAACACCGAGGAACTTCTCAGAGATGGACCAGGGGCTGAACCGGGACCCAGAGCCCGGAGGGGACAGCTCTGCTCCTGCCCTGCTGGAATGCAGGGTGACAGGAGCCAGTCCCTGCACCCCACACACCCTGGGCTGGGAGGGGACACGGCGGGGCTCCTGGGACAGGGAGGTGACACTCGGGCTGCCAGGGAGGTGACACCGGCTGCTGTCACTGCCTTGAGCAATCGGCGGGGCCAAGGGCCAGGATGAGTCACCCCAAGCCTGGCACGTCCCTGGGAGGGGGCTCAGCTTTCTGCTGGGCTGCTCCTGCTGCTGAGCCCACCCTGACCTGAGCTCGTCCTACCTGCTGAGCCCACCCTGAGAGAGCTGCTCCTGCTGCTGAGCCCACCCTGACCGTGGCACTGACCCTGAGGGTGTCGTTTTGGGGACGGAGGGATTTGAGCGCCCATCACAGCCACAGAACTGGGCTTTCCTGGGTACCCCCTGGATTCCAGCCCTGATTTCCAGCTCCATCACGGAGCTCCTGCTCAGAAGCTGTTCCCCCATCAAGAGGTGCTTTCTAATGGGGATAAAACCTCCTCCAAAAACGCCAAGGTCCCCAGAGCAGGCAGTGGTGCCAGCCTGGCAGGAGGCTGCCCAGGCCAGGGACGATGGGCACTCCATGTCTGGGTGCCCAGACTGGTGGTGCCCAGCCCCAGCCCTGGGCACAGAGCCCTGGGGGAGGTTGGTGACAAGGACGGGCAGGCCTGTGGGTCCTGCAGCTGCCACCCAGGCTGGGCAGAGCCTTTGGCAGGCAGCAGAACGTCCCTGCTGGCCCTACAGCCCTGCTTTGGTGGCCTTGTCCCCACGGCCACCAAAGGGGCAGTGCCAGGGCCCTGCTGGGCAGTGACTGCGAGGTGGGCACACTCCTTGGCCCTGGCACCCAGTCCCTCTGCTCTAAGGGTGTTTAGGACACTAAAACTGATCCATTTGAGAGCTTTTCTGGATGCTCCTGCAGATGGGAATGCCGAGAGCATCCCACAGACACCGGACAAGGACCAGGCTGGGGATGGAGGTCCCGATGTCCCCCTGGTCCTTCCACCTGGGTGCCCCCATCCTGGGTGCAGCAGGGGGACAGAAGGACCCCAGGGAGCTCCCCAGCAGCACAAGCCTCTCACAGCAGCGTCCTGGGAGCCAGGGCTCCTCCTCCCAGCCTGGAAAAGCTGCAGGACCGGCTGGGAGCGGGGAGCACCTTCCTCCCACACGGCCCAGCCACACTGCAATTTCGGGAGCTGTTGAAATCAGTTAACTCCTGGGGAGCCAGGGGGAACCCAGAGCCCCAGGGCTGGACAGACAGCCCGGTTCCCCTTGCTGGGCACAGCCCCGCCAGCTCCAGCCCCGCCGTGCCCAGTTTAACCAGTCCGGGTGTCCCCGGGCCGTGGGGTCAGCGCGAGCCCTCGGCTCGTTAGTCCCGCTCTGGCTAATTACAGGGCCGGGGCTGTTCCCAGGCTGGCAGAGCTTGGGGCCAGGGGGAGGCCACGCTTTGGGGTCCCCCAGGACCAGCCCTGACACTTTGGGGGACCCCATCCAGGGGGCCAGGGCAGCACCAGGGGGGTTGTGATGGGGCTGGGGAGGCCCAGGGGGCTCACGGGGGCTCATCCCCTCTGCATCCCCTCTCCAGGTGTCCCATCCAGGTGAGCAGTGCTGGTTTGTGCTCTGCCTACGCCAGGCCCTCATTACATCCCAGGCCAGCCCCTCGCTCCCCCAGTCCCTGCGTGCGCCAAGGGGGTCACGTCCCTGCTCGTGCCTCATTCCCCAAATCCCAGGGGGTCCCTGCACCCCTCGGGCTGGGATTTGGCCAGGCCAGGGCTGGGGCCTGGCGTGTCCCCCCCGTCCCCCTGCAGCACGTCCTGAGTCAGGCGCCTTTCCTTCCCTGCCAGGGCTCCCATCAAAGGCAGCTCCTGCCCGGCCCTGCTGGCTCTGTGAGCTCATAGCCCAGGGTGCTGTGACTGTATTTTATTGTAATTATCGTTCGTGTTGAAACGCGCTGCTGGGGGAAGGCGGAGGGAGCTGCGCCCTCGCCGTGGCCCCGTGCCAGGGCCAGAAGTGCTGAGCTTTCACCTGTCCCAGCGCCGGGACCTCCAGAGGGGTGTGGGACCTTGAGAGGGGTGCGGGACCTCGAGAGGGATGTGGGACCTCGAGAGGGGTGTCCCCACCCCAGGGCTGTCCCTGTGCAGCTTTTGTGGATTTTCCTCCTTGGAATTAGAGGGGCCATTGGGGAGGACTTGGGGACCCTCACAGGGGTGTCAGGGGCAGGTTTTGGGGAGCTCTGGGTTTGTACTAACGGGGTTGGGTCAGGGACTCGGGACCTTTGAGCACCTCAAAGCAGCCAGCTCTTTGTGGGGATGCCAAAACGCCCATCCCAGGGATGCACAGACCCCTGAGCCCTTGCACGGGGCGCAGCTCAGCCCAAGGTCCTGCTGGGGGAATGGGGGGCACAGCGAGCAGCCAGGGCTGGGGGACATCGAGAGCAGGCAGTGTTGGGGGGCCCGGCTGCCCCCACCCTGGGAGGGGAAGGGGGCGAGGCAGGCCTGGAGCTGCCCGGACATGTGCGCAGGGAGAGACGAGGCAGACGAGAGCAGAGGTGCAGGAGAAGGTTTATTGGAGCACAGAGGCAACACGAGACGCCCTCCCGGAATGGGGGGGCTGCCCGGACCCCCCTCGCCCCGGCCCAGCCCCTCACCTCCTCCTGCCGCTGCTCCAGCCCTCTGGGACAGGGGGTTTGGAGCCGGCACAAGCCAGACCGGACACCCCCACAAAAAAATGTTAAATAGCTGGGGGCTGGCAGCTCTCCGGGACAGAGGCACCCCCTCTCCCTCTTCTCCCCCTCCCCAGAGCAGAGGATGGGGCAGAGGGAGGGAGGGACCCTGCCAAAACCACCCCCACTCCCGGTATCCAGGCTGGGGGGAGCTGAGACTCCTCCCCACCAAAACCGACCAAAAAAAAAAAATCAAAAAAACGACCAAAAAAAAAAAAAACCACGAAGAGATGCCGAAGGGTCTGGAGCGGGGCAGGGGGCGCTCAGTTCTTGGGCTCTTCGCCAGCCTCGCCGCCGTCTTCGCCGGCACACTCGGCTGTCCATAGCGTGAGGTTGTCCCTGAGCAGCTGCATGATGAGGGTGCTGTCCTTGTAGGAGTCTTCGCTGAGCGTGTGCAGGTCGCCCATGGCCTCGTCGAAGGTGGTCTTGGCCAGGGAGATGGCCTGCTCGGGGGCGTTGGCGATCTCGTAGTGGAACACGGAGAAGTTGAGGGCCAGCCCCAGGCGGATGGGGTTCGTGGGCTGCATCTCCTTTTTGCTGATGTCCATGGCCTCTTGGTAGGCCTCCTGGGCCTTCTCTATCGTCGACAGGCGGTCGTCCCCGCTGGCCACCTCGGCCAGGTATCGGAAGTAGTCGCCCTTCATCTTCAGGTAGAAGACCTTGCTCTCGGTGTCGCCGTCCTTCTTGATGAGATACTTGTCCAGCAAGCCCAGCACGTTGTTGCAGACGGCGTTCAGCTCCTGCTCCACCTTCTCCCGGTACTCGTTCACCACCTGCGCCTTGTCGTCGCCCTCCTCGGTCTTGTGCTCGATGCTGGAGATGACCCTCCAGGCCGAGCGCTGGCAGCCCACCACGTTCTTGTAGGCCACCGAGAGCAGGTTGCGCTCCTCGTTGGACAGCTCGTCGCCGTGCTCCACCACGGCCTTCATGAAGTCGGCCATGTCCTCGTAGCGCTCAGCCTGCTCGGCCAGCTTGGCCTTCTGCACCTGCTGGTTTCTTGCCATGCCTGGGACGCGGGGCGAGCAGCGGGGCCGGGAGCCGTCGGAGCCTCTGCCGAGCGCCGCCGCCGGGATTCGCTTTTGGCTGCGCGTCGGAGCCTCGAGCGAGAGCAGGAGGAGCCAGCCGGGTCCAAGGAGTGTCCTCCTCCTCCTCCTCCTCCTCTGCTTCCTCCCCGCCGAGCGCGGCCTTAAAAGGAAAATCGCGGTGAATCATCGCCCGCGGGCGGCGGGGCCGGGGAGGGGGCGCGGGGGGCGGCCCACGCCCTGCCCTCCCGGTGGGTGCGGCACCCGCGGCTGCCCCGGGGCTCTCCCCAGAGCCAACGCCCGCCCCGGCACCGGGACGCGCCCGTGGAGCTGCTGAGAGCGCTGGGGAGGCGGCGGAGCCGCGCTGTCCTTCGGGGGGACGGCGACGCGGCAGCGCTGGCTCGTCCCCAGCCCTGGGAAATGGGCCACGGGGTGTGGCCGCTCGCGAAAACGGGTCCCACCCCCCCCGAAAAAGTCATATCACAGTCGTTTTTAATGTGGAGATTGCCTCGGCGGTAATTGCGAGGGCTTGACGGGCAGGTATTTATTCCCACAGGTGGGGAAACCGAGGCAGAGGCTCCGCACCTCTCCCAGGCGCCGCGGAGGGACCGGCCCAAAAAGCGGGGCACGGTCAGCGCTCGCCTTTGAGCATCAGGTGGGACCCCCCAAAATCCCCATGGTGGGAGCAGCGAGGGGAGAGGCCATTCCCAGAGAGGGGAGACCCCATCCCCATCAGTTCCAGCCCATCCCCATCAGTTGCAGCCCATCCCCATCAGTTCCAGCCCATCCCCAGCAGTTCCAGCCCGGGACTGCCTTTCCCCATCGCACCGGGGCCGCTCCGCATCTCTCGGGCTGTAAATGCAGGGTTTTACCCTTCTCCCCCTGCAGGATTTGGGCTGCTCCGGGCTGGCCGTGGGCCGCGGTGCCCGATAGGGATCTGAGCTGCGCCTTGCGCTGAGTTTCACTCCGAGCCTGTTGCCACACGCCGGGCGCTGCCGCGGCCCCGGCCCCGGCCCGGCCTTATCTCCGTGCGGGAGCGTGCGGGAAGGGCAGGGTGGGGCCGCCGGCTCCGCGCCAGGCCGAAAGCGGGTTGTGATTCTTTCCGTGAGCTCTCGCTGCTTTGTTCCCGCCTGCCGACACCCGGCCGGATCCCCCCGCGCCCGCTCAGCTCCCGCACCGGCCCCGCTGCGATGGAGGAGGCAGGGAGAACGTGAGGATGCTTTTCCCAGGCGCTTCAAGGCCAGGAAAACACCCCCAGCCTTCACACCACCCCTTCTGCACCCTGGGATTCAGGAAAAAGGAATTCACCGGGCTGTTCACCCCTTCCTGGCTGAGCCCCTGACACGTGCTGGGTTTGGGGTGCTCAGGGTGCCATCGAGGGGCTCCTGTGACAGCAGCGTGAGGGTGCCCAGCCCCACCAAGGTGCCCACAGCCCCTCCATGGCACCCACAGCCCCACCAAGGCCGGCCCCAGACTGTGCCACAGCCCGGTTCGGGCACAGGCCGGCCCCATTCTGTGCCACAGCCCGGTTCGGGCACAGGCCGGCCCCATTCTGTGCCACAGCCCGGTTCGGGCACAGGCCGGCCCCATTCTGTGCCACAGCCCGGTGTGGGCACAGGCCGGCCCCATTCTGTGCCACAGCCCGGTTCGGGCACAGACCGGCCCCATTCTCTGCCACAGCCCGGTTCGGGCACAGACCGGCCCCATTCTGTGCCACAGCCCGGTGTGGGGAGCTCCTGGCTCCCGTCCCCAGGGCTGACGGCACAGCAGCAGGGCCAGCCCTCGGTGGCTTCCCTCAGCTCTGCTCGGGCCTGCCCAGGCAGGAGCCGCTCCCCTCCACCCGCCGAGCAGAGCCAGACACAGAGTACGCTAAATAGGAGAAACTTTCATTTCGTTACAAAAGTAAAAGGCATAAACAGACGGTGAGTCCTACAGGGCTGGGGCAGGCCTGGCTGCCCACTCAGCTCTCAGCCCAGGGAGGCTGCTCAAGGTGCTGGAGCCCCTTCCCCTAAATCCAGAGCCGTGCTGGGATGAGGCTGGCAGGGGAGCTGGCCCGGGGGCTGCAGGATGAACTGACCAGGTACGGGTTCCCATCGGGAAAGTCCTGTGGCACACGGACACGGCTTGGAGGGGCTGGGAGGGTTTGGTGCCCCCGGTTTGGCTGTAAATGCTCTGGAGAGATCCTGCTCCTTCCGAAATCCCAACACGGCATTTCCAGGCGGGGAGGCACCGGCACCGAGCGCCCAGCGGTGGCCGGGCACGGCACGGCACGGCACGGCTCGGCACTGCGCTCATTCACCGCTCTCCTCGCTGCGGGGGCTCTATGGCTTTGGGCTCCGCTGCCGCCGCCCGGGGCACGGAGGGACGGAGCGGAGGCACTCCGGTGGTCATGGCTGTGGGCTCGGCTCCCGTGGGCGCCCCACGAGAGGCTCAGGCTGCTGCTGGTGGCGCTGGATCCGCCCGGAGCGAGGCAGAGCAGAGGGGAGAGGATAAAGAGAGAGTCAGTGCCAGGAATGGAGCTGGGGAGCAGCGGGAGCAGGGTGAGCAGCCAGGCCCGCCGGCAGGGCTGGGGCACAGCGAGGAGGGGGCTCAGGAGCCCTCGGGGGGCTGCCGGGAGGGGCAGAGGGGCAGCTCACGGCCCACAGGTGACACATCCCATCCCAGGTGCCCTGGAGGAACTTACCTTGGCCACAGGAGGGGGAACCGGGTGCTGCAGAGAGGAAAACGGGCAGAGAGGCCAGAGGGGTGACCCAGGCCCAGAACGGGTCAGGGATGGGGGTCCAGACCCACCCCAGGGGCCACGGCTCCTCCAAACACCAAAGCTCTGCTTGGCTGGGCTTCCCTCACACAGCCACGGCAGGCTGGGCCCCGGGCAGCCCCGGGCTGCAGAGCCCTCTGCCACACGTCCCACAGCGTCCCAGTGCCCCACAGTGTCCCAGTGCCCCACAGTGTCCCCAATGTCACACAGCGTCCCACAGTGTCACACAGTGTCACACAGTGCCCCACAGTGTCACACAGCGTCCCACAGTGCCCCACAGTGTCACACAGTGCCCCACAGTGTCCCAAAATGTCACACAATGTCCCCATGCAGACCAGGTGGCTCCAGCCCAGCACAAAGCCAGGAAAAACCAAACCTCTCCTCTTGTGGCAAAGCGTTCCTGTGCCCCCTGACCCACAGCCCTGGCACCGTGCCCCCGTGGGTGGGATTCTGGTGGGATGGATGGGGCACGGGGATGGCAGCACGGCTGGGATGATGGGCTCTGAGAGCTGTCATGCAGTGAGGATGGGTGGCTGCAGTGGTGAGAGGGAGAAGGAAGCGCTTTCTTACCAGCCAACCCTCAGAAATCAGGGCAAACGTCCGAGGAGGGGCAAATCCCGTCAGGCTGTGCAGGAAATGGCAAAGTCCTGGCAGGCATCCTCCTGGGGAAGACACCAGAGGTTATGCACCTCACACCTGCCACGGGGCCACAGGCTGGCACAGATGGGGCACAGGTGCCAGCTGGGGACAGGACACTGAGGTGACAGCAGCAGGAGGGGATGAGCCCCTGCCCAGCCTGGAAATGTGGGACAGCAAATTCCCTTCACTCCAGAGGAGCCACAGCAGCGCCAGCTGCTGCTCATCCCTCCCTGCAGGAGCTTCCAGGTGAGGCCTGAGCCCAACAGAGGGCAGCTGGCACCTTGAGATGCCAAACAGCGGGACACACCTGCCCCCTTCTGTCTCCGAGGAGGAAATAATCATCCAAGCAGTTAACTCTTTCAAAATAAAGTTTTATTGAGTAACAAAGGAAACTGGTTTAAATAAAAACAGGAAGGAGCCTGGCCCCTGGTACCCCCTCCTCACTGCTCCTCTGCCATCCCCCTGGCACAGGCACTTGCAGAGCACAAAGCACGACGCTGGTGAGCTCAGGGGGGCTGGGCTGCCCCCCAGAATGTGCTGCCCCTGCCCGAGGGTGAGGCTGGTCTGTCTGATCCAAGGAAACCTGACAGGCAGCACGGCACTGTGAGCCTCTGCCCCGGTGCCAGCGTGCACAGCGCTCCCTGCACAGCACAGAAAATGTTCTACGTAGAAAAAAGTCCTACAAATTGTGCAAAAATATCCAGCAGCTTCGAGTAACACGATTCAAGTATTGCTACAAGGTTTGTGACTCTGCCCTCAGCCCAGGGACACGCAGCTGGCTGCCTGGGTGCAGAGGGTGCTCGGGGATGAGCAGCTGGAACGGCCCCCAGGGCGCTGGGGACAGCCCTGGGGACACTCTGCTGCTCAGAAACCCAAACCAAGAGCACACATGAGCTTATCAGAGACCAGCACCCCTCACTGCTTCCTCGTGAAACCTCAGGGAAGGAATTCAGTGCAGTTCAGGAATTCAGGACCCTCAGGAATTCACACACTTTTCTGCTGCCTCTTGGTCTCCCACCCACAGGACACAACCCTGGGGAGCTCCAGCTCCCAGACCTGACCCCTGCAGCCGTGTGCATCTCCTGAGAGTCACAGAGCACAGAGTGTTTCTTCTTCCCTGCTAGAGGAGGGTCCCCTGCCTCGTGTCCTTGCTGCAGAATGTGTCTGACCAACCGGCAGGGCCAAAGCACAGCCCCAGGCAGCACAGGAGCAGCAGGGAGCGCCCAGGACATCCTCACCTGCCTCCAGGGGAACAGGGAGTGTTGATGGAGCTCACAGGGACTCCAGGGAGGTGACGCCTCCTCCAGCCCAGCCCCGAGTGGGAACCATCTGCCAGTGCCACCTCCCAGCCTTGGCCCATCCCATTCCCAGCAGGAATCACAGCAATTCCCTGCAGCTCAGGGTCTGGGGGCTCCTGGGGACCCCCTGTTCCAGCACGAGTCCAAGGGTCCCACACGCTGTTGGGCTCTGTCAGGCACCACCCCTGACAGGCCACCTCACAGTGAAACAAACGAACAAAAAGTAATAAATAAATGTAAAAAAAGAAGGCAACGCATGGCTCGAGTCTTTGGCAGCTCTGGGTGCCAGGGCTGCCCGCCTGAGGCCGGGCATGAGGCAGGGGAGGGAACTGGCCGGAGCAAGGTGCAGGCCCAGCAGGCACTGGGCACATCACAGCACTGCTAGGGAATGCCTCCTACCATGCTGGTGTCAGTTTTGGCTCCAAGGGAAGGGATTTCACTCTTGGGACTGGACGGGGTCC